GTAGCATTAAAATCCAGTCAGAGACTAGGTCTTCCAGAAGGCATGATAGCAAGCATTTGGTCCCCTTGTGTAGATAACAAAGAAAAATTGTACAATTCAGCTTAAGACTGCTGAGGTGGTGGGGTTTTTTTTTTCTCCCCTCCAGCAATTTTGGATGCATTAGTGAAATAGCAAAGGCAAATAAATCTTCAGGTGCCCAAAGGAGTGAGTGACAGCAATTATCTAGTGGTTGTGCTACTGAATACACACTTGTATGCCAGGTGATAAGATCTGAGGAGATGCTGTAGCCATTCTCTCATTAAGACCTCTGAGTCTTTGTGGAAAATAGAGCCATATGATACTGGGAGGCAATATGTGGAGAGTCTGGGCTAACAAGACATTAAACTGCTTTCACCAGCTAAATTGGTGAACTGCAGAGTCAATGTGCCCTTAGTCTGCTGATGGCAACAGCCATCCTTGAATTGTGGTTGCAAAAAGGTAATTGGAGGCTCCAAGAGTAGTCAGACCCCACAGAGAAGTCATTTTCCAATAAAACCCTCTGTCAAAAAGTCATCAGCCAGGGGTACTGCTGGGGTCAGACTTTGGCCTTAAACTCTCAGGTTAATGTCTCAGCGGTATCAGTTTGGTGAGAAAACAAATACCTTAATTTTACCATGAAACAAAAGGGTCAGTAGAAGGGGGGGAAGGAAGAGCGACTTTTAACTGCTGTTTATGTGCAGCTGTACAAAGAGGGCAGTGACTGAGCAGAAAGGAATTCACTGGGGTGATTGTGGCCTGTGAGCATGGTTTGGTGCTAAAGCCTGAGATTCCAAAAGCTGGGAGATGGGGCAGGGAAGTGAGCACTGACATCAGCTAGAACAGGACATGGCTGGGATGGCATTATTATAATATGCCACTGGTTTTACTTTCTCCAAAAACTTCAGCTGGCAGCAACATAGCATGTACCAACACAGCACCAAAATGCTGTCTTCTAGCAGTGCGTATGTGAGACACTGGTCCATGTGTAGAGCTTCTGAGTCACGCTGTTCTGAGACTCCTCTCTCTGGAAGCCAGATGGTAAGCTCCCAGTTGACTTCAGTTTCTTATTTAGTTTCAGGATGATCAAGGAAAAATGTTTTCAGTCTGATGCTATAGAAGAGGCAGTGGCATTTTGTCTGAATTTACTGATTGAGTTTTCAAACTACATATTTCAATTAAAGACCATAATATTTTTTGTAAATGTGACACACAGAGGAAGACTCAGAATAATTTAATCATAGACAAATTGTTTTCTGTTGTTTAAAAAAAAAAAAAAAAAGAATAAAAAAAGAAAAAATGTAACATTCTTGTTCCTGAAGGGGTGGAGGAGACTTTGGGGGCATTGCAGCTGTGGAAAATCTTGTGATTTTTGGCTTCCGAGATCCCCGTTGCTATGTAGCAATTTGGGGGAGGTGGTGTGCAAAAAATCTCAGACCATCTCTTTTCCAGAGAGATATCAGGAGGAGGAACCAGCACCCATCCTTTTTTTGTAATGACAGTGAAGGAGGGAAGAAAAAGTTCATACACATATATGCCCTATATTGTACAGGTGCCAAAAGAAATTTTAATACTCTGTGGAACTGTAATAGCAAGTTTGGATTAAAATATACAGTATTCTGTAGTATTACATGTAAGATGTATGATTGCACAAACCCCTTCGAAACTTGTTTTTAATGGAGAAGAGTGACAGATATAAAAGCTTTATTATACATTAAGGACTGATACAACCAAGGTGAAACTTGTTTGTTGCACAGTAAGTAAACACAGATGCAAACTGCGTATACGATTTACAAATCAAGAGTTAGTGTGCATGGATGCTGCTCAGTGAAACTATTGGAATGGGGGGTGTGTATATATATGTACACACTCATCGACTATATGTTGCTATTGCAAGGCCTATCTATCTTTAATCCACCACAGTCACAGGAAATTTTGCTACTCATGCCACAAGGAACAAGTCAGACTTAGAACAGCTTTGGAGACTGCTCAGTAAGTCAAGTAAGGCAGTTAATGTCTAAGAACAAGTCAACCGTATTAAGTAGTTAATAGTGTTGCATTTTGTTGAGAAGATTATTTCTTGGAACATTAGGCCACAGCCACCCAAAAAGCTGTGGGGTAAGTAAACATGAATTTCCAGTTCATTAACTGCTTTCTGGTATCTGCCCACTGTCTTTGTAAGTTGTGTCAAAAACTTAGGTACGTTAGCATGATCTGCTTTTAAGCTCGTTCCCATCCTTATTTTGTTCTGTTGAGTAGCTGTGCCTTTTTAAAAATAACCTTTTAAAAATATTAGTGAAAATTAATACTGATGCAATACATGATCCTCACAGTCAAACACTGAAGTAACTTTTATTTTGGTAATGTTGTGTTATTTATTGTACAAGAATGCTGATGTCTTTCCTGACTCCTGAAAATGAGCACACTGGGTATACCCTGTAGACATCTCATGTTCCCATAACTTGCCTCGTGTTACAAGCATGCATTTGCTATTCAGGTGAGGAGGCTCTACTTTCTGGCTCTT